CAAAGAGCAGCGTACACAAAACACAGGACAGACAAAAGGACGACAGTCTCTTTTGAGCTTGTGGCCTGTTAGCCCACAAGGCCTGGGCACACATCCCTGTCCTCTCCCCCAGAAAGGGCATCGCTCCCACACGGGGACAGGACCAACCATTGGGTCAAGCTTAATCACACACCGACTTGCCAGCGGCTCTCTCTGCTGTTCCCTCCAGCACGACAACTGGCTTTAAGCAAGTTGCCTTTCTTGTCCTTCCCCTTGTCCCTCCCGGATGCCCTTCATCTTGCTGAGGGAGCCAGTGATCCGCAGGAGATGGGCTAGGGGCAGGAGGAGGGTGAGAGGACTGCTGTGAGGGGTTGGAGAGGGCGAGGAACCTGTGGGGAGAAGGTGTTTCTTAAATGTCTTATCTTAAAGGTGTTACAGATAACTCCTTACCCTGCAAAGTCTTTCCCCAGCTGTTGTAAAACAATCGTGTTAGCAAGGGAGCCAAGGCTGTGTCGCGGCCGGCAGGTCAATTCATTGGCACGGGCAGTTTCTAAACCACAGGTTTTTAGCTTCTCCTGCAACCAAAATTCATTGCAAGCATTTTTCCAGGTCTGCGGTACGCTGCGAGCTAATAGGAGTTGTACTACGGGCACCCTTTAGGATCTGTGGTTCGTTTGAGTGCTTTCATAGATTTCTTTAATCTGCCTGAAATTGCAGGTTTCAAGTAACCTTCAGTATTTGAGCCAGACTCCTCCAATTAACTCTGCTCCTTCAGCTGAATGTACTGGGGAGGCCCAAGGCATTAAAACGAGCTGCGTGAAGAAACCAACCCAAAATAAATATAATTACGGCCTAAGCTCATTGTTCACAGCGGCCTGACCTCCAGATGGCAACTCACATGATTAAAACTCCTTCATTTTTGCAAGAAAGCAGATTGAGGGGGGGGGGGGTGGTTAAAAAAAAGTGGATGGGTGGCTGCCACCTCGGGGCAAATCCAACACGGCCCCCCAGCCCCTTCATCCTCGGGGGGGAGGAGGATGCTCGGGCTGCTCCTGCAGGAGCTGGTGTCTGAGATAGCTTCGGCTGCAGCCCTCCTGGCGTGCCCAGGGTCAAGGAGAAATGATTCTTGCCCGCTGCCGCCGCCAGGGAGAGATAAATGCGGTGCTGCCGAGCGGCTTATCGCTCTCTGCAGCCGCGCCGCTCCAGGGCTGCTGGCGGGGTTGGAAATTGGGACACCTGCCTTGTGAGCCCCTGTGGCGGTGGTGCTGAGCCCGAGGGGTCTGCAGAGACACAGGGCACACAGCGAGGGGTGATACGGGAGGACGGCGGGGCTGGGGGCCTGCAGGGTGTGATGCAAAAGTAGGCTGGGTTTGTCTGGATGTGTGTGCACGCAGCCCTCCGGCTCCCAGGTGAAGTATCAAGGGGGGAGCTGCAAGAGACTAGGCAGGAGGGATGGCAGGGATGAAATGCTGAAGTGAAAGCAGCACATTTTGTCTCTTTGTCTTTGCTATTGTGTCCTCTCCTTTGGTTAAATTGGGAGCTGCTTATCGCAGCAGCACCCAGAGCTGGCATTTCAGCCTGTGAGAGAAGTGCAGCTTTTCATTAGGTTTGCGTCAGCCGCCTGAGATGGCAAGAACCAAATATCGTATACACACGATTTCCCTTCTTTCCTTTCTCTGAGGCTGTGGTCAGTTTGGGTCAGTTGGATTGCATTTACGGAACGAGCCCCTTTTTCCTTCGTGCTCTGTAGGGAAAAAATCCCACAGGCACACACGTATCCTGCCCCTGTCTGAGCCAACAGCAGGGCTGCTTCTGCTGACTTTAAGGAGAAACAGAGCTTCCAGTGAAAGATGCTGAAATGACAGTCCTGCAGAGAAAGGTCTTTGCGTGCCCACAGAACAGATATGCCATGAGAAACGCTGCACCCACCAGAAAGGCATCTGCTCTTGCTCTGGAGAGACCTGACCTGCAGGCTCTTACCCCAGCAGTGAGGGCTGTTTTTGTGCTTTTGTGCTCATTTATGTGCTCATTTTTTGGTGCTCGTTCATTTGCTGTGACAACATTCAAGACTACTACACGCATAAGAAGTTACCTTCTCCCTCCTGTTGCCAGCATATGTGAGGTTCTTGCCTGCAACAAGAGCAGGCAGAAGAAGCCCGAAGAGACCTCTTGGCTGTGCACGAGCTGTACCTACCCTTACTCTTTTTCTCTCCTTGCCTATTTTTGACATCCCTTCAACTTAGGTTATCGTGTGATGAGTTTACAGTGCCGTGTCCCACAGACTTCTTTGGGATTTGTGTCTTGCGCTTCAGTCAGGCTGTGGTGGACAACCTAGGAAGCCACGTGGAAAGGGAATTGTGTGGTTGCGAGTCCCTTCTTTGATCACAGCCCTGAGATCAGCGCTGTGTGCACGCGAAACCAGGCTGGAACAGGTCCAGGGAGGCAAAAATGCCTCAAGGTCTGTGCCCTGCAAGCCCCCCGTAATTATCTGTAGCTACGTGCCACCCAGGGTGGCTAGCAGGGCGAGCCATGAAGCAGCCTCCCCTCGTGTCTGCAGGTTGTCCAGCATGGGCAGTTTCAGTTCATTTTACTTCTGGGGAAGAGATGAAGCTGAGGTGGTGTCTGTGATGGAGAGAACCCAGGAAGCACCAGAGCCCAAACTTTGGGTGTTATGGGGACGAAGCTTGCAGAGCTTGCAGAGCTTTGGGTGTTATGGGGACGAAGTGCTTGCAGAGCCTCCTGGTGTGCCCACCTGCAGGAGTTGTGTGCACAGACCTGGACCTAAACTGCAGACACAACAAATTGATAAACTCTGTGTTCAGTGCAAGGCTTGTTTCTGCTGAGGTAAAGAGATGTATTGCTCCTCTGACACAGGTTCAAAGCTCAGGCTTGGGTATTTGCCACCTGCCATGTACCAGCGGTAAGCAGTGCCATTCATACTAGACGACAAAGGATACTGAAAGCCCAATAATCGCACCTCTGTGCATGAAACAACTCCCAAAAATGCATTTAAAAGTGAAAAGCACGCACTTGCACGCAACAGAAATAACAAATTACTTATTCCCTCTCATCTCACGTCCTTCAGATAGAAATCTGGACCGTGGAGGCAACCGTTTCCAAAGGGCAGCACAAATTTTCACCAGCCCGAACTTTTTTGAAATGTCAGAAGGGAAAAGGAGACCGGTGAAATCTAAATCCTCTCAGGCAAAGTGCTTGGTGGGAAGCCGTGGCTGTTGGCTCAGCAGTCCTGTAGGGTGGTGTTGTCTTCCCTGCACCACTCCCGTTTCGCGCAAGGAACCTGAGCGGAGGCACTGACCCCAGGAGCTGCAGTTTCTTGCTGGTGCCAAGCAGCAACTTTCTGCTTTCCAAGCCCAAAGCCTGCTTACAACAACAGAAAAAGTAATATCCCAGCTCACCGAGGTATCCAGCTATCCACAGGAGGTGAGAACAGCTGAGCTTTGGGCTTCATCTAGCACCGGGGAGGCAGTGAGTTTGTCCTTGCACGGCATCTGTCACCGCACAGAGTTGGGTGAACAGCCAGCAGAAATGACAAAAGGGAGAGCTATCTGAGGGAATTAGCTCAGAAAAAAATAAATAAATAAATAAAAAATGACTAAACTCACGAAGTCAAGGCTTACTATTCACTGGAGTGAATCTGGCAGGCCTGCTTTTATTTTTAACATTTTCTAGCAATCGTAAGAGTAATCCTGTCACGCTCTGCGAAGGCGAGCTCTAGAAGCCTGGTGGATCAAGGGCTCGCTCCCTGACTCTCCTGACGACGAGATGCTCTGAGCCATACTTTTTAGTCGGGGGAGCACTGAGTCATGAAATAAGCAGGAGACCAAGAAAGGGATGATTCTGCAGCTACGGCAATGGGTGCTGAGATGGAGGTGGTGTGTCAGGCTGACTGACGTGACCGCAGGCAGGGAAGCTCCTCTCCAGAGATGCACAGATGCTGAGCATCCTCTGCCCTCCCAAGCCCTTCCTGCCCATCCTCTCAACATGCGTGCCCCAGTATGGCTTTCCCCAGGCCAGCAGCAGCACTGGTGCCCCCTGAGATGGGCCAGGTTATTTTTGAGGGGCTTTTCAGTGCAAAACCATGGTGGAGTGCCACCTGCTGGGCATGTGCAGGGCTCTTCTGGTAACGAGGAGGAAGAAAATAAAGGAAAACCTCAGAGAAATAGTCCAGGTCTATGCTAGGACGTGAAATTTGCCTGAGACCCTTCCCTGGCAAGCTGGCAGGGACCAGCCCACAACCAGGCTGGCCCATCCCGCAGCCCAGGATGGCTCCTGCAAAGTGCCCGGTGGCTCCCACCAGCTCCGTCGTGCTTAAAGGCTGGAAAGGGAAAGTCACCTCCTCATGAGCCATTCCTCCCCGCCGCATCTTCTCTGATTCATCCCAGATGGTGGCGGTTATCGAAACCTGAATCACAGTGGCATGAAGCTAACCCACCTCTGATTGCAGCGCCAACGAGGAGCACAAAAGGAGGAGGGCGAGGGGAAGGGGAGAGCGGGACACAAACTGCAAATTAAAGGCAAATCACTAGCTTGGCTTCTGCTATTGTGCAAGTGGGGGTGGTTCGGTTTTCTGCCATGCCAGGGAACTGCGAGGCATACCATAGTGCCAAAGATCAAGGCTCATTAGGACGACAGCTATTAAGATCCCTGCTTTTTCCCCTGTTAGAGATCCAACAGCCTCGCACTACAGCTGCGGTGTGTTTCTTTCCCACCACTAAGGATCCTGGGGAACAATGGAAAAATTTACAGGGACAAACTCGGTCAAAGGCCCTCCGAAAATTGTTATAAAAGGACTGAATCTAAATCCATAAAGAAATTAATGTTAGATTTCTTTGCCAGCAAGCCGTGACCACTAATTCGAGATTCCTCAACGAAATACGTCAAAGGGAAGCTTCCTCCCCATCCATCAATTGCCTCCCAAAAGTAGGAAGGAGACCTTGATGGGAAGGAATAGTTAAACCCAACAAGCAAAAAGCAACACGTCCTTCAAAAGAAGCACATACTTTCCTGACTTTATGGTTTTATTTATGTCCTTCCAGCCCACTCCAAACAGAAACTTATCACCCTCGTTTTTTATTTTTTATTTTTTTTTGGTGCCAAATCAATAATCGCTTGTGCAGGGATTGTGGAATGCTGCATTCGAAAGCCTCTCACACACTCTGTCGAAGTAAAGGGCTGATAATAATTAATAGCTGCCAAGGACATTCAGCCTTGCTAAGTGGCCGTTAGCATGGTTTTCCCCTGGACACAGTTTAGACTGAGTCTCTCCGATTTTCCCAGACAGTATCTGGATACCAGACAATTTCTCCGCGCTTCTGTGCACAGCCCCCCGCAGAAGGTGAAGAGAATACCCCACAAAGTCCTTGGACCAAAAAATCTTGTCTGCACCTTTTCTAAAAGCTCTTCCCATGCAGCAGGGGAGTTCAGCTGTGCTAGAAAGGCACAGCTTTCCCATCCGTGAGGACATCTGTGCTTTGGGGAGGTGAAGTAGCTCTGGACTGGCTTTCAGGTCACGGGGGAATATCAAAACACTGTGTGCTGGAGGCTGAAGGATTTGTTCCAGATGGTTTCTGCCTCTTGTTCTCATTATTCAACCGCTCTGATAGGGTTAGAAACCTTAGGAACTATGCCTGGATCGTAAGCTGCCTTTATTTCACAGTCATTCTGGAGTTAGTCCTAAAAGTGATGCTTTTGGGAGCAACAAGTCCAATAACAGCACTCAGCACAGTAGCTAAAGGAAGCGAGACAGCTGAAGTGAAATGCTGAGCTCCTGGCTCTGCAGCTTACTTTTGTCAGCTCCGTTCAGACCAGGGGAGGCAAGTTTGGGAAATCACCCCTTTTCTTTCTTCTTGCTTGGGCCAGCTGGAGCCAGGAGAGCTGCAGAGACAGAGAGAATTGAGCTCCTCGAAGGCAGTGGTGTTACAGGAGAGGGACAACCTGGCGGGCGGCCAGGAAAAGGAATGATCTTAGCTCTGAATGCCTTGTGAGCGAAACTAGGTGCTGTAATGCTTCTCAGCAGACAGGTGTTTGCACTTCGTCACTTCAGCTTCAGTAGCTGCTCCAATTTTTCATCAGAAATGCTTGTGACAGCATGGGACACGCCTCAGCAGGACGCAGGACACAGCAACGCTCCAGCATCTGCTCTTTCCTTTGAGCTTTTCTCTCTTTAACAGGATGTGGATGTTCTTTTGAAGGCACCAGTGCCTATGCTTGGGCAGGGGGAGCAAAGACCTTCAGACTGGCTGAGCACCTCGATTTGCCCAGAGCTGTGTGGACGTCTCCAGGCTGTAGGATCAGACCAAGACACGGGATCAGACCGAGTTCTAGCTAAGTGTGGTCAATGGGGAAGCTGTAATGGGAAATACGTGCCCAGCAGCTGGCAGGTTGCAACATCTCTAACCCCTGAATGAGTAACTGGGAGATATATTTGGTTATGTCGGGGCCCAGTCTGGTTCTTATTCCCAGCAGTCAGGGTGGCCAAAAAACCTCTCCAGTCTAAACAAATGCAATTTAGTCCATTAGCAGACATCAGAGAAGCTACCTGCCTTGACAAAACCCAGCTATGTTTCTAATTAAGCAGGGATAGCTCAGAGTTTCTGTTGCAGCCACTGTGGCTACAATCCCAAATTCCCACAACAAATTACCTACACTTCTCACTGCTAACAGAATTACCTATCTATCTACCGCTGTTGGTCAAATGCTGGAGTGCATCCTCACACAGAATTGCTCTCGTAGCACTCACCTCAGATTTGTTTGAGTAGATGTTGTGGGATTTGGTGTCTGACATGAGTCCACTTCCAGCCTGAAGGGCAGAGGCTTCCTTTTTAAGCCTGATAAAAGAAAGGTCAGTAGGGGCTTGGATTTTCCTCTTGTTCCTCCAACCCCCTGTTCAAGCAGGACCACCACATCCAGATGACTTCTGAAGATCTCCAAGATGAGAGACACCACAACCTCTCCGGAAAACCTGTGCCAGTGCTTGGTCCTGCTCACAGCACAGAAGTGCTTAGTGTTGTTCAGACAAAGCCTCCTGTATCTCACTTTGTGCCCACTGCCTCCTGTTCAGTCACTGGGCACCACTGCAAAGAACCTGGCTCCATCCTCTTGGGACCCTCCCTTCAGTTATTTATATACTTGATAAAATCCCCCTGAGCTTTCTCCTTTCCAGGCTGAAACCATTTTGTGCATGGTTAACTGCTAGAAGTGAAGGAAAACTCTCTCATGCAGGCCCTTTTGCACCTTGATGAAGGCACATATTTTAGCCAGGGCTGCAAACGAAAGTTGCTTTGTCTTAGGTAGGTCAGCCGGGTTGTCTGTGCTGTAAGTGAAACACTAACACATAATACCCAGCTGGCATTTGACCAGCTAAAATGGGCGTGAGCAGAGAGTTCACTCCAAAACCCACTGGAGATGCTCAGGGGGTTGCTCCTGCTGAGCTTCCTGCTGCCCAGGCCCCACCATTTTGAGGGAGGCCACGGTGTGGGCCTGCCCTTGCTTCTCCTCACAACTGAGGAGGAAGGCAAGAACAGCCTATTTACTCCCCGTCTGTTTTCCGAAAACCCTCCTGTGGCTCCCATCCAGCTGTAACCGCAGCGGGTTTGGGGAAGAGGCACCCAGCTGATCTGACCTTCACTATCTCACAGGGAGCAGCAGAGCACAACCACGCTGTGTGGGGGAAAGGAAGGAGAGCACATCCCCATCTGCTCAGTCTTGGGTGGACTAATGCTGTGAAACAGTTAGGGTGACATTCACGGCGTCCCAAAATGCAGCTTGGACCTGAAGAGACACAGGGACGGTACTTTTCCTTTCAGCTTTAAAAATATCAGCTCGCACGCTGTGGCGGTGGCCACTGGTCAGGTTTCATCCTTGCTGCCAGGCAGAGGGATAATCCTGCTGTCGTCTGTGCTGCTGGCACCTCACATTGTGCTGCTGTGGAGATCCCCTCCTGCCCCTGAGTGTCCTCTGCCACCAAAGGAGAAGGCCTCGGGGCAGCAGTGCCCCTGCCACCAGCACCCAGCCCCCCGAGGGAATAGGGGGTCGGTTTCTCTGCCTCCCTCCATGTGGCTCAGCTGAAGCTTGGCCTGCTGCTGTAGTGGGTAGTGGAGGTGGCAGCACGGGTGATATCCACCTTCCTCCTCCTGATGGAGGAGGCCGAGGGTGCAGGAAGGATGGCTTGGTGATGGAGGGGAGGCTGGGTGGGGAGACAGGGTGGCAGTGGCAAGCAGGAGAAGTGGGGGGCTTCAGCAGGGGCTTGGAAAGGGACAGGGCTGGCTGCAGGGAAGGACAAAGACTGGGCAGGAGGTGAGGGGATATGTGACAGGGACAAGGGAGGGCACTGGGGGAAATCAGCCTTACCCTTAGGAAGAATGTAACATTTTTTTTTTCTGTTACAGCCTTTTTATTGTAATAGAAGACATTTTTTTTTTCTCCCAGTTTTTTTTTTTTTTTGCCCATTCTTTCCCTCCTGTTATTTGACCCTCCATTGGTAATTCTGCTTCAGTGTTTGCTAATTTTCTGTCTCTTGCTCTGCCAATACAACTGTCATCGCGTGCATTGTGCTCTGTCCTTTATGAAATGATGTGCGGATAGCAAACAGTCTGTATGTACAATACAAAGGCTGCTCTTACCTCCGAGCTGGCAGACAGCTTAGTCTCCCCATCTGCAATTATCCTTTCAGTTCTTCTCTTCATCCTTTTCTGTTCCTCAGGCCTTGATTTTCTCTTGTGTTTCCTGCAGCCTGGCCCCTTGCCAGCTTTGTTTTCCCCCCTCAAGCTGAGCCTGTCCCTGTCCCTGCCGTTGGTGTCACTCGCAGCGCTTCTCCCCCTTGCCCCGAGCAGCCTTGCTGAGGCAGCTGGAAGGAAGGCAGCAGCGCAGTGTAGCAGGGAGGACGTGAAGAACATCTATCGCAGATCTCTGTGGTCATGGCTAAGGTCAAAGAGCCAAACGTTTATGGTTTGTGCGTGGGTGTTATGTAAACAACAGCAATTATTCATTGTCAGAACTTCATAACTCAGCCAAAATTCGACCATTTTTGCTGGGTTATTCACAGAGGCTGCTACTTCTAAAGACTCGCAACCAAACTTCAGCCTTCCCCTCCCAGCTAGGGAATTTTGTTATTGCAATTAAGGTGAAGAAGTCACTGTCACAGTTGCAATAAACTTCCCACCACACCTTCTCCTGCCACTAGTGATGTGATCCTTGCTGGGTATGGCCCCAAAAATCACACTCACTTGCAAGTGGTACTTGCTCTGACATGACTCATACATGAGATGGCTTCTTATGACCTCTCAATTGCCCTTTCAGAGACCCCAAGTGTAAGGCAGAGGGTAGAGTTTCTTTGTTATACCTAGATCCCCAAGAAAATCCCTTAGTAATCCCCATCCTTACACTGCTTGCAAGAATGCTCTTCCATCCTCCTTCTGCCATCACATGCAGTGTAATCCTCCTTTTCCTGCGTCACCCGTTCAGTGATCCTTCTTATTCTGCAAGATCACATGCATTGCATATAGCAGCCTCCCTCACACTCACAGGGAGAGCAATGAGTCTCAAAGAGAAAACACTCTTCCTGCCATCCTCCTACATGTTGCAAAGAAAACCTCCCTTTTTGCCCGTCCCCCCAAAAGGCCGGGGCAGTTTAAGCTCCCTTTTTCTCACTCTGATGCCATGAGACCATTCTTCCCTGAGTGGTACCAACAACAAAGGTGGTGCTTATTCACTTAATCAGCTAGCTTTTGCTGCCTGTCATTGAGATCCGTTTCTCTGTGCTGCGATAACCTTTTCCACCCACCCTCCTCCTCTGAGGCCATGAGCAAGGCAACACCGTGCTGACGTCTTCAGTCCTGACACAGCAGTGGGACACGCTGAAAGAACAGACCCGGGCTAGGTTAGGTTGCCAGCTCTCCCATGCACTCATGTCCTTGCTCCACACAGAAAGCATTGTATTGCAAACCAGTGTGCTGCTTAGTCACAAGGGAAGCCTGTACTAGCTTGTAGCCTCAGGTAAAGAGCTGCATTTTTTCAGTGTGAGAAACAGTGTGCAAAATGAAGAAAAAAATACTCTATAAAATGGCCTCCCCGGTATGTGCACTCCCAAAGGGCCAGGATTCACAGTCCCTCTTGTTGCAGTGTCACACACCCCACTGTAGCCACTGCAGTATCGGGGTAAGAGCTCCATGCATTATCCATCAGATGACCCCAGGGGAAATAATCGGGCTCAGAAGCCTCTGCTTCCTAGATTAGTGTCATCTCCAATGGAGCAGCAAAATTGGGATGAAGACGATAAGATCCAAAAGTGATGGTGACTTGCCTACCTGTACAAGAGCACGTCTGTGCTTCTTCCAAGACAGCCTCTCTCGTCTTTGGTGGAGATGACTTAATCCAGAAGGGGTGATGAGAAGGAGAAAGATTTAAATCAAACCCGATTACTGTGACTTGATAGGCTTCCCTGGCAAGCTGTTCTGGGATTGACCCAGCAGTTGTCAGCTGGCTGCCTCCTCCCTTGACGACAGTGCTCAAAGGGCTTCAGAGCCAGATGAGCTACGGCCGGGCTCTTAACCCTCCTCTGGGCTCCAAGAACAAGCATCAATATCTACCCTTACAGGCGTGCAATGCCGATCTTCTTGTGAGGAGGCTGAGAGTCTCACAGCCTTTAGCCAACCTTCATCGGTGGGCAAACGAAAAGAGAAATGGCTCCACAAGTGCTTTGCATGAGACTCTGGAAATGGCACGCTCTCGTTGTGGCTTTGGAAATAATCCACCTAAGAGATTACTCTGGTGTGGCTGTGAGATAATGCTGTGAAGCCATCGCGTGTGCTCAGCCACCGTCCCCCAGGCACCTGAGCCCTACCCAGGCCTTTCCCCGGCCATGTGAGGGGCTCTTGAGGGCACCAGGCAGGACTGTACCCACTGAAGGTGCCTGTGTTGCAGGCAACAGATGCCTACAGACTTGAAATGAGAGGCAGGAGGAAAAGTGCAGCATGATGCAGAGGGAAAGCTTATATCCTGGACCAAGCTACAGCAAGGTCAGCTCATGCTGGCCAGCACCTGAGCCTCCCTAGGGGGATGCAGGCCATCAAGACTGCTGGAAAAACATTTCAGAAACGATTCTGAAATGAGTCAAACGCATCCATTTTTTTCCCCTTAATTCAGTCTTATATGCAGCTATTAAAACAGACTGGGTTATAAAAAAAATAAAAAAATGGGCCAAAGCAGCATGAGCATTTTTATTAAAAAAAGGAGAGTAATAAAGTAAAGCTGTAATAATAACATGAAAACGTTGACTAATATCTGTGAAAAGCTTGGAGAACCATGGAGGGAATGAGCTATTGTGTTTTGTGGCGGGTGGGGTGCTGGTGAAGTGTTTGTGGTTAGGACAAAGACTCTGACTTTTGCAAGAGGAGCTGATGAGTTTTAGGGTTTGCTTTCTGGAGACTCCCTGCACCCGTGAGGAAATGGCTGGTGCTCAGGGAAGGCCAGAACAGCCAGGGTTTTATTGAACCCATCAGAGCCTCTTCCACCGGTTTGTCTCTCCTTTTTGCCTCCCCCTTCTACTGCCTGGTGCCACCGATGAAACAGGTTTCAAGGTCGCAGGCTGAAAGGCGGTGGCAGGTGAAGAGCTCCTTGTTTCGCCGAGCCAGCGGCACCTGCCATGTTACCTCAGTGAGCTGGCCCTGGTGGGGCCTGGCAGGGGGAAGGCTGCGTCTGTGAAAACGTCAGTGAAACAAAAGTTCAAAGGCAGGGAAGGGACACAGGGAGATAAGAGCTCTCTGAATCTTCATTTAAAAAAGCAAAGACAATCAGATTAAGATGTGCTGGCTAACTCAACGCACATGAGCCCCAACATCAAAAGGCCTGCAGCTCGTACACGTGCTGTAGATAATTATCAGTTTCACTTGGTACTTCCCTCAGCAGCAGAGCTGACGGCTGTCCAGAGACGGCCTTTCCAACCAGCCCTGATGCTGGTCCTCTCCCTGCCCCTCGCCCTGCTGCGCATACCCTGCCCGCACCCCCTCGGGCTGCATGGCGAGGCTCACTCAGGCCTGGCTTAGACCATGGTCAACCCCTGTGGTGATTAGGCTGGGGGATCGGATCCTGAAATTCCCCACATATTTCTGAAGCCGTAAGGTTATGGCAGAAGGCAGGTAATGAATGCCAGACCTTCCGAGAGAGATGTGTGTAGCCTTTGCATGAGAATAATGTGACTTCAGGCGATGGCACAGCAAAGAGCCTCCCTTCTTTGTCTCTCTTCAGCACCAAACCCTCCCCCAGAGCTGAAATGACCTCTGTCCGCCTGTCCGCGGGAGGCAGAGACAGACAGAGACGGGACACAGGCAGAGACAGAGAGGTCATGCTTTTGTTGGAGGGAAGAAATAATCCAAAGAGCAGTGCTGAAACACGCCTAATCCCCACAGCACTTTGAAAGGGGGAGCCGGGAAGCCTCTCCCTCTCTCTCCCCCTGCGTGGCCCCATGGCAGTTTTCTTTCATGAGGAGCTCTTTGCACTTCGTCCACAACCCCAAGACCACCTTTACTACATCCCTTTTTAATTTGAAGATTTTATTGCACTGAGGGAGGAAGGGGAAAATGCTAACAATTACAACCAAGTCCCCTGCTGAGCACCCTCGCACTACTCTGTCCTTGTGGAAGACGCATTTCTTTCTTTTTCTTTTTTTTTTTTTTTTTTTTTTTTTTTTTTTTTTTCTATACACTTAATCCTTCGTTTAATGGATACCCAACTGCATGGGAAGCTTCAAGGTCTATAAAGAATGAAGCCTAACCTGCAAGACACTCTAGTAAGTCGACTGTTTACAGTAAGCACAGCAATCCATCAAAGTAGCTCTGAAGGCTCCTGAGGAACAGCTTGAGGCCAATAAAAGGCTGGATTTGGGGAGGGGATGGGAGGAGGGGGGAGGAGAAATATACCTATAAATAATACTTTATGTCTGTGCCAGATCCGAAATGCAGGCATCTAACTCCACAGAGAATAAGCCAGCTCAGTTTATGGCAAAGTGGATTTGCACTCTGTTGAATATTAGACACACGCCAGCTGATGGACCTCCCCTGGAAGTTCAGCTCTGTCCCACTTGGTAATCAATTGCACCTCTTCAAACAGAGCATAAAGCGTCATGTGTTTATTTTAGCAAAAGGAGCTCCAGATACAGAACGTAAACCTATTCCCCCAATGGTGCTTTAATTACCCAAAAAGGCTGACAATAAATTTACATTTTAATTAAGAGTAATGAATTATGCATGATTGCTTAGCTCTTTCTGCATAGTTAGCAGACAAGCACAGAGAAAGGTATGGTATGGACTGCAGGAATTTATCCTAACAATACAGAGAAAAGACTATTTTGACTGCAGTGGCTGGGGATTTGATTGCTCCAAATAGGTGCCAGTCCACAAAAAAGGTCCTTCTACACCACTGATAGAGGCTCCATGCTATACTATGGCGTACGAGAACTGAGTCCAACTTCTCTCCCTATCATGACAGCACAACACTTGAAGATCATTTCATGAGAAATTTAGCCCTTCTGAACACTTTAGGGCTGTGTACGTAGGAAGAGTGATGGCAAAACATTTCCCATCCTCAGCAGGGACATGGAAACACCAACATAACTGTTGATGTTGCAGACTCCCATGGTTTTGCCTTGTTTTGTCAGCCTGTCTGTCATAAGTGTCACTCATCCCCACATAAAACCATAGCATCCATCCAAAGGAAAGAAACAGGAGGAAGTTAGCTCTTCTGGATGCATAAAACAACATGCAAATTTGAGCACATATGGACATGAATCCTGAAAAACAAAACCGCTAGGGGACAAACTGGGCCTGCAATGAATGCTCAAAGTGTGACTTTTGAGTTATTTTACATTGTGGGTTCCTAGCATGGGTGGGCAATAGACCATTGCTGCAAAATTATTTGAAACTTCACTACCTGTTCTGCCTTGTAAGGCTTTGACCTTCAAAACAGTTTATATTTGAAAAAAAAATAATGTGAAAAGCAGGAAAAAAAAAAAAGGAATGACCAGTGAAATAAAAGCATGAACATCTAATTGGAATCATCCTGTCCTTATGTCAAACTCTAAGTTGACCGAGTTGCCTGACTTTCATATTTTATCTGCTTGTTTTGGTATCATAACACTAATTTCCATCTTCAGCTGCAATGTGATTAGTACTTCAGGCATTTCTCCTCCTTGCTGGAGACATCAACCTTTCATACCCTTGTCTCAAGGAAAGTACCACCTTGGAAAGTGGGGCAGTGGCGCTTGGACCTCACGGTGAGGACCCACAGTGAACTTGGCATGGGTGAAAATCTGAGTTTTGTAGCACACCGTAGGGCTAGCATAGAGGTAGCAGAAACTCCAGGCTGGTCAACAAAGCTGAGCTGAAGCACATAGATCTGCAAGTGATGGCACTACATGAAATGGACTGGGGCCCAGCAATCCCATCTGGCCACAGCAGATCCAGGCCAGGGCCTCGTGGATCCTGGCAGCTTTCAGTCAATGCAAGGGACAAATTATAAATGTTAGTAGGGGTACTGCAGGGGACTGTTTCTCAGCTGAATGCCAATGACTGTGACCAGGGCTTGCTATACAAGGCACCTTGCTCTTGATGGAGCTTTCCCATTAGGCTCAGCTGAAGATGGTCTCCCAACTTGTTTCACGTAGAGATGCAAAGAGGTGGTTCTGTGCTCATTTTTCATTTTCTTTCCAGCCTGAGAGAAGTCAGTGAGCACAGATATGCCCTTCACGGAGACAGTTACTGAACTGACTGGGGCTTTCCCACCTTGGGCAGGTGGGAAAGCCAGATCAAATTCTTCTCTCAGACAACGGCGTACACCACAGAGAAAGGGGGCTATCCCTTATATTCAGCAGTCACATCAGTAGCTCACAGAACAAGATCTTCCCAAACTGCTCACTTAAAGGTATGCTTTTGACTCTTTTTATGAAATACTCCAGTTTTGAACTATGCTGCTCTCCCCCCAGCACACTTCTATCTTCCTAATTGCTTACCCATATAATGCTCACCGTTCCTTCTCGTTTCCAGATGCTAACGCACCCTGAAGGACAACTGCAAACACTTGCCTGATATTATTGTTCCATTTAAGTGATCTGTCATGTTGCCAGGGGGATATTATCCGCTCTCCAAGGAGAAGAAAGCACATTATAACACTCTCTCTGTACAGACACAGATCTCACAAGGAAAATACCCAAGAATCCCTGAGCTTAAATTTGGATCTATTTGTACCATCCCAAGCAATAAACAAAAATAACCTAAAGCATTTTGCAAAATGTGCTCAGTGAACTCTGTCTTTGCCACCTACCAGTGTGTTTTCTGCCTACTAGCAGTGGCTTTGGACTGCAGTTTCTCCAGGATTCAAAATATCTAGTGTATACACAGAACCAGGTGTCAGGACTACACCTACAGCAACAAAGTGCCGTGCCTTTTTGTTTGATTTCCAGTGTTGCTAAGAGAAAATAACAGCAATATTTGCAAGAACCTAAAATTGACTAATCAGAAATTTAATGAAAATAAAGGCATCCTGCACCTCTATCCCCAGTACCCAGAAAGTACCTTTGTTACCAGAGATTATCACTTTAGTTAACAATGGATTTGGTACTTTGCTGATGAACATATATTATCACCAGAAAACAGAGAATAACATTTTTAGTCTCTTCTTTCACCTTATTTTACAGGAATGAAAGATTTGACAGGCCTCTTTTTGGTCTTTATATTGTTGCTGATACTTACAGCATGTGTAAATTTCTGTTACCCAAAGATGCCTTAAAAGCACACAAATGAAAAGGCTGCTGCAGTACAGAAGTTTTGAAAGTATTTTACAGTAGTAAAAATATATGTGAAAGCCAAAACTGAATGCTACTAATACCTTCATCTTTAGTACGGTGAGCTGTGCAAAAGGAGAGCACACCACAGGACTGCACCAGAAGCTCTGAATTCTCCCTACACAGAGATACAGAGCATAAAGCAGCCTGCATCTTTTCAGACAAGGTGTTCTCTGTAAGCTGAAGAGGCCCAGCATTTGGATGCTGCTATCTTATGGCACATGTAAAGTCGGAGTCGCATGTGATAGAAAAAAAAATAATAAGATTTTGATATGTTGCAAGCATACAAAACATTTTTTGCTAACATTTCTGCCCTAAAGCTCTACCATCCATCTCCAACAAACAGGACAAAAGCTCAGGAGCAAAGAGATGTGAATAAATTGTTACTTGATATATCAGTGCTTGATATATCAGACTTTAGTGAGCTTTGTTATTCATTATCATTCATCAGTCCACCAATGATTTTCATAGTTCTGTTTGGTGATATTTCTTACTAAACACATAGCAATTACCTACTGAGATTAAATGTCTACAAGAGACTATCCATGAATTTCACACAGGCCACTGAACAGCCACCATTACAGATTTTAGCTGCTGCTAAACCTTATCTAAAGTCAAACTGGTAACCTTGAACTGTGGCAGTGTGATCTCATCACTACCAGTCCCTGTAAACTAGCCAGTCCCCTAGGTGGGACTTTTTTTGTTTCTCTTTTCCTCCTTGAATATCCCCTACCTTGTGACATTGAAGGGTAATTTTAATCGGTTCAGCCACACGAAGCTACGCCTGTGCTCATGAGTTGCTGCCTTTTGAACGGCTGCTTTCACTGAAAAAGTGGCTATGAAAAAGCGCGTGGAAAGAAACCTACTGCAGGCTTTGATGATGGGGGTGGAGGGAGGCTTCAACATCGCTCTGCTTCTCCGCAGACCTCCAGGTGACACGGTGCTTTCTGATCTCAGCCGGAGTCTGCTGGGCTGTTGCCATGAAGAAAGCACGAGAGCACCCGCTTTCAGTTTGCTGATGTGTTTGCCTTTGTCTTGCTCTTTAGCTGAGCTCTCCAGCACCAGAGGGGGATGTTTGACTCACGCTAGCGTGACTCTGCGTTTCACGCAGCACGGTCCATTTCGTTGCTGCAGCTTTGCTCGAAGCAGGTCATGGGGAAGAATTAAGCTCCTTCCTTCACAGTCATGCAGAAGCACTCCAGTTCAGGCAGGCTTAGTGTATGGGAGAAGAGATTGCTTGGCTCTTTCTGTGCAGCTGTACGCGTAGAGGTAGCCTGCAAGAGTCTCAACAGCACAGCACTGCTCTAATGACCCCGACTCACAACCTTCACAAACCTCTTGACTCCAAAATGCCTTTTATGATGCACAGATGAGCTGGGTTTTCAGACAAAACAAAACAAAACAACAACAACAACAATAACCGTTTCCCTCCTCTCCACAGGCACACACTCACACACACTTCAGTCCTGGCAAATGCCACACTTTCTGGTTCAGCGGAGGGCCCAGCTGCACCACCTGCAGTGAGCTGATAAAGGCAGGCCAAGATGCGGGTTTGGTACAGAACTCAGGGGCTTCTTTGTAGGCACTGCCGGGTGGGTATAGAGCCAAATGGCAGGTGATTCCTCGTGCTGGCTAGGGAACGGTGCTGCCTGCAGAGAGTCACGCAGCTTCTGGGCTGGGAGTGCCTCGTGTCTGAGTGATGCAGTGTGAGCGCAACGAGACTGGGTCTGCCCCATCCCAAGAAACACAAAGACACCAGAAAATGAACACATCACACTTCCACAACCAGCAAATGAGTACAAATATTAGACAAATGGATAACTTGACAAACTGGAAGAAGACAGTTTATAATGGAACCTGGCAAAAAAAAAGTAGTTATGGTGAGAGGAAAGCCATTTCAAAACTTTGGGCTTAGTAAGAGCCGGCAATCGATGGAGAATGTGGCCAGAGCAACTGAAGAGGATGTATTTCCAGACAGAAGAAAATTCAACCGAGCCAAAGCTGGAAGTCCCCAAATAGTCAGGATAGTGATACTTGCAGCTGAGAGAGTCCTAAAGAGAAATCTCAGGGACTGACGCAAACTCAGGGGTCAGTGTACTTCTTGGCTGGTTTATTGGCTGCGGAAAAGAAAAAGCACAGCATTGCCTAAATCTTTCATGTGAGTGTAAGCACAGATTAACAGGATCTGTAATTTCTGAAATGAAGGCAAAGGGAGACAGCAGAGACAAAGCTCATGCCTATTCCTTGTGTGCTGCATGCTACAAGAAGTTGGCAAGAAGCATGCCACAGCTACTAGGTCAAGTCAAACAATGATTATAGCATAAATAACCAAAGAAAACAAAGCACAGATTTGCTCACATTCTTATGAGAAAGCTGCATTTATTCCAGGGTATTACTCTCACTTTTCTAAGAGAGGCGTTTGGCTTTAGACATTTCGCTGCTATCTCTACTGTGTTTAGGTCACCATTTCGATTCTTTACCCAAACAGTGTAAAAGAAGCTCTGCTGGAAAGGGTGATGGGGCAGATACCAATCCTGTCAGCCAGGCACGATGCTCACAAGGCAGGTTTCCTCCTGCCGACGGGCAAGGTACAAACATGCTAAGCACATGGCCAAAACAGCACCAGCTGCCTTCTCCCTGCTCTGAGCCCACCAAGCACTACAAGAAATTAGTCTTAGGCAACCTCCCTCTTCCCAGATCAACCAAGTTCTTGACCAGGCGCCTCCAGCTGCAGGCTCATGGGGTGCCTCTCCACACCTACCCCAGATCCTGTCATCCTCTATGACCCTCCGTGTCCCTCCACATTCCTCCACGTCTTTCCATGCCCCCCATGTCCCTTCATATCCCACCACGTTCCTCCGTGTCTCTCCACCTCCCTCTGTGTGCCTCCACATCCCTGGCAGGTTGCTGTTCCTTGAGAAGAAGAGGGAGCACTAAATCAAGTGTTCTGCTGGGATGGGTCCTTCTTTTATCTTTTCCTTTCGGCAAGGACAAGGAGAAATGCCAGGAATGGCACAAATTCAGGCAGCCTTCCTTGCCTCTGAATGCTGGGTGTGTGCTCCCTGCCTGCCCTATTTCTTGAGCCCAGCTGTGTTTGCTCCCTGGCAGGATCATTCCTTACAGATCCTGGCACAGGGACCCGGTCCTGCTCTGTGTCTCGGAGTACTAATAATGGCATGTGCGTGCCCACAGTAATGAGCAGGAGCTGAAAGGTGGAGTGCAGAGCACCCTGATGTGAAATGATAGTGGGCTGGGAACGGCAGCACCAGAGAGCATAGGCATAAACTACAGCGCGTTGGCTCACGGGAAACACAGCTCAGCCCGTCAAAATCAGGCACAAAGTGGTGTCTGTGCTGAGGGGAAGGAACACGGGGTGGTCTCAGACAGGGCTGAGCACTCATGGAAGATGGTTCCCCACGGAGGCAGGTCCTGGTCCCTGTCAATATCCAGTGCAGCTGGTTGTAGTAGGGACAGAGCGGGTCAAATGTGCAATAGGGAAAGGTAAGGTGCTGCGTTACTTAACAGGATTGCCCTGCAAACAGGAAGACGTTCCTTGGCTAAGTCCTGCTACAAGGCACATCTTCGGGCTTCTGCTTCCTTCCCCCAGCCACTTCTGAGGCTTGTGTCTTGTGCAATGTCGCCAGCTTCACCAGCCCTGCAGGGGCTGGGGAAAAGGCGCAGACAGACTGGGATTTGCAGCAGGCAGTGGGGCGATGCAAAGAGTAAGTGGAGGGACTGAAAGCAGCCACAGCACATCTAAAATCCACGGCAATTCCACAGAGACCTCTTGGGGCTATGATTTATTTATTTATTTTCATTTTCTGCAGGCTGAAAATGCTGTTTGTTGGTTGAAAAGTGATTGATGCAGGCTGGGGACCATGTACAGCTAGTGCCTTGGCCTCCTTGCTGGTGCATGCAGTGGAAAGCCAGTGCTGGCTGACGTCTCTCCAGGTGGTGTTGAGGGCACGGCTGGGTTCGGCGTCACACACCCTGCCCACAGAAGGTGTAGGAGATCTTGACTAGGAGCTCTTAACTAGGCTGGTACCCCACTGTGAAACAAGGAGACGAATAGATGTGGTGCTGTTGTACATTTCCATCACTCTCCTCCTTCCCAACCCCTACCCAGTTCCCCCCAGTTTTTGTACTAGCACTTACTGGGAAGAAACTGCACTGTATAACCCAGATGTCCTCTCTGAATGGCAAGTAGGGGATTTCAAGGAAACATGGAGAGGGACAAGCAGAGCAGAGAGAGCTCCCAACATGCTCGAGAATCACACTGTTTGTGGGAGCACCGAGGCATGAGCAGGGCTACCTGGAGAGCTCAGCAGCCACCTGCTGCCCCCAAGAGCTGTAGGCCCCTGAGAGGGATTGAAAAGCACGAGTTTTTTCAACACTGTGTCTCTTCTACTTCCCGGATAGTGGCTGAGGAGTCCACAGAAATGCCAAACCCATCTGCAGTTCCAGACTAGCAGATGATAAACTGAGGGAGCAAATTTGTTGGGACAGACAGAAGCACTTGGTATGTGTGCTCTTGGGCTTAATGTGTGCCATGTCCTGGAGTAAATATACAATAGGATAAGGTGAAAAAGGGCCTAGAAATGGCTTCCTCCAGTAAGGTGGCAACTTTAAGCGGCGCTGCACTTCCCAGCCAGGCAAGCCCCAACCCGAGAGTAAGCTGCTTTCGCTTTGCAAATTGCTCATGGCATTTCCTGTAAACACGATCAACATCACCTACAGGCTGTGAGCAGGGAAGCACAGTGACATTACAAAAATGTCTTCTGAAAGGGCAGGCTGCCTCATTTTTTCCATTGTTTCCCAGTTTCCATACTTAGGAGAGTTAGAAATTGCAGGCCGAGGTGGGGGAAATCCCATGCTGATTGAGAGGGGGGCAACCACAGCAGAACTTCAGTGCTGGACTTTCCAAAGCTGTCCATAACCTCAGCGTGGTGCAGTCTTTTTTCCCTAGAAAACTGTGGGTAAGAAAAGATGAGTCCTCTGATGGATTACCAGTCTCCTATCCAACTTCGGTACTCGCTGCTCCTGAGGAAAACACACTTATGGACTAATGTCAGGATAAAGAGCAAGCCTGAGGAGGATGTATAGGCAAGGAGAGTAACACAGGGCTGCTACCTAAATAAAATACAATCAATGTTGCGTGCTTGAAAGTTCATGATTCAAGCTTCCCCACACTGTGACATTGGATTAGAGTGACTTAAGCAGTGTGCTTTGAAAAGGACAAGAAGACAGGTAAACAACGAAACCTCAGCCTACCTGAAGGTCTATTTGTCTTCTGATATCCTTGTCTTCAGGTTCACCGTGGAGGGCCTTAACCGTTTCCCTATGTCCACGAGGCCTGGTAACAGCAGAAAAACTGATGTCTCAGATTCTCATGTGACCCCAAACATCCAGGCTTTTAGCAAGCAACAAATATCACAAGATCCACGATAGATCACAAGAGCAAGGCACCATCACCAAACTTGCCGCTGACACAAAGCAAGGCAGCCTGACAGTGTCACCTTACACAGGCAAATACTGATGAGGTGCTGTAAGAACCGGCTTCAAGGACTATTTGAAGTCAAACGTATTTTCCTTTTGTTTGTCTTATGCTGGCATTTGCCTACACCTCAGTCAGGACAGGGGGGTCACCTTGCCAGGAGCTTTATAAAACCCCCTTTTATTTTGGTTTTCCTCAGAGGCTCACAATCCAGTGTGCAGTGAGGTCCAGTGAGAGGGACCGACAGGACTCAGTCAATGAGACAATTAAGATCCATGAGGACCGGATCTAAATTAATGCTCCAGAGTAGGTGGAGGAAAAGACATACGTGCACACAAAATCCACATGATGTATTATCACAAAAATGTGAAAGAAAGCTAAATACACGGCGGCAGCCAACGCAAACTGGCAAGTTCCTGGGCTTTACTGGCGCTCGGCCAGAGGGGTTGATGCCATTTGGCCTGAAGCCGTGCCGGAGGTTTCGATTAGATGAGGAGCAGTGCCTGATGAACGGGAAGGCACAGATGCGGGGCAGGTGGAAGGGGCATGAGGAGGGGAGACGGTGCAAGACGGAGCCAGCCGGGCAGCAGCACGCTTGGACACGCACAGCTATTAGAGTGGAATCTCCGAGGCTTCATTTTTTTATTGCAAATTTCTGAGCCCATGTCCACCCAGTTCTGTCTTTTTCCAAGAACGGTCAAAACTCTCTTTCTGCTGCGCACAAGGGCTTCAGGTCACAAGGGAGTATGGTCTCTTTTGAGAGTCCTCATGCCCTTTTTTTAGATCAGAGCAATCTGGGACTATCCCAAGGAAAATTTCTCATACTCTGTCTGCTCCTGCAGACTAGCCTGGAAAGAGACTTGTAGAGGGGACAGCTAGTTAGTCTGTTCCTAAACCTCCCATTAACTGAATTTATTTTGGCCCAGCAGGATCAAAACAGCTGTAGCTGAGCAGGTTGGATTTTCACCTCAGGCCTCCCCCTTCGCCTCCAAAACCACACGGCACACACACACAGAGTTTCGTGTGGGATGTTTCTTTGCTGTTCTCAGTGTCATCTGAAGCCATTACCCCGAGTTACATATTGACCCATGCTGTTATGCCCAGTGAGCAGGAAAACTGGCAAGCAGGCAGGCACTGTGCACGGCCCGCCCAATACACCTGTGTCCTCATCGTGGTCACCAGCTCTCTTTTACAGAGCATTTTGCCTTCTGGCTGCAAAGCCTCAAGGTGAGATGGCAAGGCAGAGGGCTGGACCGTAGTAAAAGGATGGTATCAGCCAGCTACTGAATCAGAGAAGGGTTTCTAAGCCTTCCTCTCCTGACCAGGGTGAGGATGGCCCAGCTCATGACCAGCATGAAACCTTCACGCTCAGGAGGTACTAGAATGAGCAGAGCTGTCCTGAGGAGATTTTCAAAGAGCCCATGTTATGCTGGAGACACAGACCTCATGGCCATCTAGGAGACAGGGCTGGAGACAGTCACACCTAAAGCATGTGCCAGGCCGGGACAGACAGCCCCAGGCTGAGCCGAAATTGGTCTCCTGGACCCAGGGGCTGGGTGTGGGGGAAGGCCCCAGGTGTGTCTGGCCCAGGCCATTAAGGGTTGTTAGTGTCCTCAAGGCCTGGCAGATGTAAATGTAAGGGGAAGAAGGGTGTATGTCCTTTAAAAACAGGTTATTTCTCTGCCCTTAGATTACATCCTGAAGGGCACCCGATATGAAGACTTCCTATGGGAGCACCAGCTCCTTAAGCGGTGCTCACAGACGTGTCTGCGTGAGGAATGTCTGCAGGGTGGCCCTGCAGGCAAAGCCTGCCCTCATGCCAGGGAAATCCTGCTCCTACAGCTGATGTTTGTTCTTCAGCATCAGTTCCTCACCGCACGTAATGCACCCCTTACAAACAACGTAAATGGAGGTGCGGAGTCCAGAGTTAGGAAATGCTATGATTAAGGCCACCTGTGGCCTTACATCATCGTCTTTGCCTGTCTGCCTTGGGAAACAATTTCTAATTGCCTGCTCCTCAAGCTCTTGCCTCGCTCAGAGCACAAGATGGCCGGTGCGCTGCTGTTTCAGTCTTCGGCCTGCTCTGTCCCCATGAACTTGTGGCTGCAGGCCCTGTGTGCTGCACCTCTCTCCAGCACTGCTCTAAAACCCAATTATTTCACAGTGTTTTCTGAGCTCCCCATCACTAATGTATCATTAGTGGCTTCGCCCAGCTTCACAAAATCCATTTAAAGCTGGAAAGCTGAGGAAGAGAGAAGATGAATGGATATACTAGTTTTCATGCTGGAAGTGTGATAGATACTGTCAGAGCCTGAGCTTTCCCAGCACTCAGCATTACAGAGGGCTCAGTGTCTTTAAGGACAGACAGCACCACATTAAGCTGCATCAGAAAGCCTGCAGCATGTCTGCAAGTCAAACTCTACTGCTTCTACTTATTGCCAAACTGAAGGAACAGCTGGTTACAGTTTGGTGTCAGCCACTTGTTTCCCATTGCAACACAAGCTTTGCAGCTTATGTTCTTCAAATAGAGTCCCAGTCTCTAAGATATCGCTTTAGACAAGAGACATTTGAGATTCAGACTGGGAAAATATACAATATTCATTTTACCCTTCTATGCACTTCAAGATAAACTCTTAGATACACTTACTTGTAATTTACATATACATGTAGTTTGGGCATCCCTGTTACCAAACCATACATAGGCAGACATGCAATTAGCACATTTCAGGAGGCTTTGTTGGCAGCAGAACAACTGTAGGACTCTCCAGCTTGGTTTCCATTCTGTGTTCGAGAGCAGTGCACACTCAAGGCAGTAAGTGCTTTTCTGTGTGCTCTGTGCAGGCTTGACACCCTGGAGTTGGGAGGAAGAGTAAGAGGTCAGAAAGCATCTTTCTGCCATCCCTGCCTTCTCCCCTTTAGCTCCCTGTCTGTCCTCTCCTGTGACTGCAGCTGAAGTCCCCATCATTTCCAGCCAGCCTTCCCCCAGCCAGAGCTACCAGCCTTGCAGTTGGCAGCACTCGGCCTCTCTAGCATCTAAGGTCTAACGAGCTCAGACAGCTGAGGATTAGCTGCACGGTTCTCCAGCTACAACACAACCCTCCCCAGGTGCCCTCAGCTGCTCTGCCAGGCACCAGCCTGTTGCCCTGTGCCCAAGCCCTGCCTCCTCGCAGCTCAGACCTGCTCCTGGTTCCAGTTCCTGTCTCCCAGCATCCTGGCATTGAAGTCTAGCCTCTGATAATGCTCTCTTTTTGCCCTTCAGCTTGTGTTTAGACTTGTCTCGTCAAAGAGACAAACCAACGTTTATCTAACCACAGGGTTCTGCCACCCGTGTCCCACTGAAAATGTCCCCCTGTCCTACAACACCAGAGGCCAAAGCACTGCTCTCTTGGACAACCTGTCCCTTTGCACTCTGCAGAAGGACCTCACCTCTCCTCAGTCTTTTCTCTCAAATTCCTGGAGGAAACCTCAGCCCTCTTCTAGTGACCCCATCTCCACCTCCTTGCCCAGATGTCTCCTTCTCTGTCCTTTCTCTGAATCAGACCAGCATTTCTGCCTCCCCTTCACAAACTCTCCTGATACCCGTATCCTTTTCTCTTCTGCTCATGTGCCCCCATCTCACCTCCCCTACCTTCTCTCAGGTCTTACTATTTTCTCTTAAAGCTCTGACTTACCATCTTCTAGTCCAGTTTCCCCTCTTCACCTGGCCTCCTCTTTATGTGCTATTCCTGGGCAGGTTCATAATTAGAGAAGGGGAAACACACATTCATCCCTAACACAATTCCTGCCATATTTCAGACCTTGTGTTCTATAACAAGGGAACCAATACAGCAGTTTGAAGAACAGGCCCTTAAAAACAAGAAGTATACCTTTTTCTGCCCTAACCTTTTTCTAGAAAACATTTCAGTGGACGTCCCTTCCAGCTGATGAAGACACCTGCAATGAAAAACTTGATTTCAAACAGTTGCAGTCTGGCAAATGTCTAGCCATCTTAACACAAGGTTTTATGTAATGGGAGACATTAGGCATCCTAAAACATAGACTTTTTGTTTTGCCCCACCTATAGAAATTTTGCTTATGGAGAAGTGAAGGACAGAGATAGTCCCATCTCTTCTGCTTCGTGTTGGATGGAGAATGCAGCACCAAGTTACACTGCTCTCCAGGCAGCTGTCCTCTGGAAAGGTGGAAGAGCAGACTTGGAGACGACAGAGCCATCTGGATGTTCTTTGAACTCATTCTCACACATTTCTGAGAAACTGGATGCACATAACAGGCAAAAACTCCGCCAAACTGTTTACCACAAACGGAGTGCTCTTCCCTTTACTCAGATATCCTTTTAGCTCAGGAAGGAAATACCACGTCTATATGTGCACAGGACAGGCTGCAGGCAGGTGTTTTGTGGTTTGTGCTGTTCAAGGGAGCAGCCAGATTTGCATTAGGGGCAGAAGGCAGAAATAAGCCGAGGAGACAGATTAGGGACAACCACAACAGGTGATGTGAAAATGCCCCTCTTTTTCCCCCGTTCTTTACCAATGACCCATCTAAATGGGTACTTGACTAAAAAACATCAGCAGTTCTTCCTCTTGGTGGTATGAAGACACAGAGTACAACTAGTTCCCACCCTCTCCAAAATGAGGGTGACCAGAGGTGAATGACTGAATAGCTGAAGCAGTTTCTTCACTGATCGTTATCAATCAGGCCAACATCATTCAGCATGGCTAATTCCACCCACCACAGGTTTGTTTTGAAAGCAAGATGATGCCATTACTTGTTGTGGATGCGCTGTTTAGGCATGTTGCAGTATTGCCTAAGCTCGGGAGGCAAGAGAATAACATTGCTAAGGGCAGGTGGTGATATCATTTCTGACTGAAAGCAAGAACATGTCTTTCCCAGCACCTATAGGGAGTAGAAACACCAGCAATAAGTAAGCAGCAGGAAAGAGAGGAACCGCATGGTGTCTTATTCTTTAGGAAGGTCCTGATACAGCCGAGGGCCCAAGCCCATGCCCAATCCCATGTTCATGAGTGGCCCCCTCTGGCTGGAGCCAGGCATGCAGATATGTCACCAAATCAGGGCCACGATAATGGGGAAATACCAGACAGAAGCCCTGTCTTGAAACTCCCCAGGCCCCCAAACAAGAATCCAGCTATCTGCTCCAGAGAGGTGGCTAGGAAGGAGCAGACCAACTGGAGAACAATGGCATCTGCGACTTATTTTTGTACGGTGCCTACAGCTCCCTGATCCGTGGCAGAATGTAAATACGCATTCAACACATCAAAGAGAGGAAATTCTTGTAGGCAAGCAACATTTTTTCCTAGCTGAAGCACAGCTATTGCATCAAGACTCGGTCACCCACTCCTTCAAAGGATGCCATGCAACCAGTCTTCCAGATTTGGGTTCTTAAATCACAGCTGGGAGGAGGGAGCAGAGAGGGCTAGTCCCTGATGTATCACAGGACAGAATTCATCTGCAGTCCCAAAACAACCGTGGATGAGGATCATAAAAGAAGAGGGGAGAGGAGGAGGAAATTCCTTTTTCCTTTGAAAACATCTGTGTTTGAGAACAACTAGGAAACAAAGGCCTGAAACATTTACACCTGAGTCAGCTGTGTATGGAAAATGGGGAGAAGCAGGCATTTCTAGGACACAGTTGGCCTCATCCTTGGGTAGACAACGTCTAAAAGAGAGGGGATGACTCACGGCACGGGAACGCCTGCTATTCCCCGCTGACGATAAAGGGAGCCCAGAGCAAACAGAGCTATCTGCAGGCGCTCACAGCGGGACGAGGTACACCCGCCCCATCCGCACCGTGCCCAGGCGCCTGGAAAGACCTCCTGCAAGCGACTGAGTCACGGTTGTGTGATTAAAAAAGAGACTGTGGTCACAGAGAGGATTGTCTTCAGGGTCACCTGTAGCTGCACCTCGGCTTTCCTTGGGAAAATCTGGTGACGTGGTTAAATCATTTTGGGAGGCCGGGCAGAGCCGCAGGCTCAGCTGGAGAAGGACAGGGGCTCAACGGCTATGGTAACACAAATCCTCTCCTTCAGAAAGGAAAAAAAAATATATAAAAAATATTAAAGCTTCGTAATTTGCTCAGAGAGACTTTTTGCAGCCGTTTGAGGGAATCCCTTGACGCCGCCGAGTAACCTTTAGAGCGGAAGGTGGTGGCTGGCAGGGCTTTCTGGCAGGCACCGCCGGCACGTCACCGAGAGAAAGCGGCGTGATTCAGGAGCGCGGTGAAACCCCGGTGCTTCGCTCGGGGAACTCCTTTCACTGCATCCTTTGGCAGGGCAAAGCCAAGGCGAAGGGGCAGCCAGCTGCAGCCAGCAGCCCCTGAGGAAGAGGAAGGGGGGGACCTTTTGTTTCTGGGAGCTTTTGAACCCGAGCATCTGGGCTCTCCTTCCTCCTTGCCCTTGTCCCCAGGGCGAATGCAGGGCAGCACGGAGAAAGCAGTATCGCAGGGGGCAGGAAGCGAGGCACAGCAGTTAAAACCTCTCTGCGGCTCGAGAGGAAGCACGGCAGCACCCTCTCGGCAGCGGCTGCTGTGTCATTTCCCTCAGTTGGTGCAGGTGTGGGGTGGGCTCCAGATGCGTTTGGGAGGACCCAAAGGAGTAAGGCCGTGTTGACCCAAACCCGGCCCCGCAGCTGGCTGGATGCTGGCTGCTCCCATGAAGACCCTTTCAGGCATCCAGACTCAACATTTCCCACAGCCTGTATTACCCAGGACTTTTTTTCCCCACTATAATCTACTGTACCCTGCCCCTTCTCCTTCGATAATGGCAGTTTTAGGTCCATACCTCCAGCACACCAAGTTCTCAGTGGCCATGCCAGCATCGTACCGTTTGCCCTTGGCATTTTCCAGCCCGCATTGCAGCACCGTTTCCCCTCTTTGTTTCTTCTAATGAAGCAGAAGAGGCAGCTGCTCTATCGAGGCACGTGGCCACTCGAAGAGCACGGCAAGATGTTCGTGTGCAGATAAACTGCAGAAAATACCCATCCGAAAACCCCGGTGGCCGCATGATTTACTCACTGCAGAGAGAGACTGACAAAAACCGAGAGATCAGACATTCAGAGGGACACCAAGCCTCAGCCCTAGAAGGATTTCCAGAGCCTCTCACATGTTTTCAGCACTGAAAATAGATGCTGGGTTTTCTGAAGTATTCTGCCTGCTCACAGAAGTCACCTCTCTGGCTACAGGCATGGGATGCTGAAACTCTGTCCCTTTTTTAGATGCCGAAGCATGGTTTGAGCTCTCCTGAAAGCCTCTGGCTCCTGAGGTGTCCCCGTGAGTGCTTAAGAGATTCCTCGATGTTTCTGGCGTGAAGTACATTTAGCACAGAGCCGTGCATGTCCATGGGTGCTGTTGCTGTGCCCAGAGGTATGCCATCCCCAAGAGAGACCAGCGCAGTGTTCGCTTAGAGGCAGGCAAAAACGGGTACACAGCAAATGGACGTTGCTGTTCCTGGGCACACGAGAGGAAGATTTCCTCCCTTTGGGAAGTGTACAAGCTGTGTCCAACTTGGTTTATGGCAAGGATGCCTTTTGAATGAAAGATAACCTTTCCAGCTTATCTGGGGCTTGTGTTTACGTGTCACCGGTGCTCTTGTTGCCACAACTAAAAAAAGTTCTCAGTCCTTCGATGTGTCCTGTCCTTGATGAGCCCTTTGCCAGGAACAAAAACTGTGAGGAGCAAGTCCCAGGAACCTCTGCCTACCTTTTGTTTTAGTAGCAAGGAGTCTACCACCATTAGCTGTCCACACTTCTGTCTGCTTTGTGATAGTACTGGGCCTTCTCTTTAATGTGAGCAACCATTGCAAATTCTTTATTATTTTTTCAGTAAAAGAATCCACACCAAGCATTTTGGTAGCACCATATCGCATCATATCATATCGTATCACCTCCAGATCGGCTCAAAGCCTCTCACCTACCTGTCAGATTTGTTCTTTTACAGGGCTGCATAAGACACAGGGCAGCCCTGAGCACTGCTTGTGACACCAGTTTTGGATCACAGGCCTAAGTGATCGGGTGTTTGGCATCAAATATTCATCGGGTATCCTTGAAAAATAAATCAGAAGTTTGCAGGACCTAATAAACACAAACTGATGGTAAGAAAAATAAAAGTGGGAAAAGCAAATATAAGGAAAGCTAAAAGATTCACTTGTTCTTTGATCGTTTTCGGTATTTCTGCAGGATTATTTATTCAGTGCTGAGAGATAAAGGCTTCCTATTTACCACGGGAGATCCGATATTTTCCCGTTCTCTATGCAAAGGAGCCCGACCCCCCACCTTGTGTCCTGAAGCGTGTGAGATGACACGCAAAGGGAGGAAGGAAGGCACAGCTCAGTTTCACCCGCTGACAACATTTCACTTTGCATGACAACTTAAAACCCGCGCTTAAGGAGAGATGAAGGGTCCCAACCCATCGACCAGGCACGTGTCTCCACCACGAGGCTGCAATTTCATCCGCGTCCCTCCAGGAGAGCTAAAACAGCTGAGAAGAGTGAACAAGACCAAACCAAGCCAAATTTCATGAGAGACCAGTCAACCAAACTGAAAGATAACCAACCATGGAGCACCTCTCTGCTTGCAGGGCCTGGAGGAGCATCTAAACTTGGGAGGCTTCCCACACACAGCTCGTGAAGCCCAGCGCTGCAGCCCGTGTTGCTGGATGTCAGATCAGTTTTTCTTGGCTTCCAGTCCGGTTCCACGGCATGTTTATTTTTGACGGTAGGTTTGTAAATATCCATGCGGCTACTAACAATGCATACTTTCAGAGGCAGCGAACCTTATCTCGGTTTGTTGGGAAAGCTTTCCAAACGTTACTTGTCTTCGTGGAGTCAGAAGAGGGAGAAACTCTGTGTTTCGAAGCCAGATTAGGCTGCCGGGTGCTATGAAGCTATCAGATCATCCAGAGGAGGCTTCACGCACAACCGTAGTGTGAGTGGTGTCTCGCACGCACTGCCATTTACCACAGGCCCTAAGAAACAAGATAAAAGCCCCTGGTGAGTAAAAGCCAGGTGTCTAGCTGCACCAGCCGCGTGGGAACTGAACTTTTTACCTGGCTCGAGAAAAACCCACAAAGGGAGAAGGAGATGGGCAAGACTGCCAGCAGCGGCATCTGAGCAAAGCTGCAAAGAAAAGGCCTCACCCCCAAAACTCCCGATGGAAACGCGGTGGGAGCTGCTAGGGGACCCGCTGTTCCTTCTGTAGGACTGCCAGCGTGCTTTATCTGCCTATCGGGGCTGCGGCGGGGAGACTGCAACCCGCAGCCGTGCTGACTAAGGCTCGCCCTTAGAGGAAAGGAGCGGCGTGGTCCTCCTGCCCTGAAGCAAAAAAGGTCAGGGGACAGTGGCGAAGCCAGCAGGACCGTGCTGTGCTGCTGTGACTCTGGATGCATGATTGGAAGCGGTCCCCTGATACACACCTGCAGCGCGTGACGTAGCTGAAAATTTTTTTGCCCACTTGAGAATTTCCAGCGGCCACACCCAGGAATGTGTTAATGCTGTTGTAATTAGGGGTGGGACAACCGGTTCAGATAAAATAAAGAACAACCTGAAACTACACCCAAAACTTGAAATGATTCTCTCTCGGAGTTGTTTTGCCTTTAATCTTTTTTTTTTTTCCCCCACATACCTTTCCAAGGAGGAAGCAGAACCACTGGCTGTAATACAGCCGGCTCGTCTCATTGCAGCAACTGAAGTCAGTAAAATACCACGAATCTCATACAAAGTTGAAATCCTCAGCCTCCAGAATGTTTTGCACAAGTTGTCTGTGCTTCATAAAATCCCTCTTAGGTACATGTTTCCTAGAGGGCTTCCAGGTTTCAAACAAAGAAATGCAATTACCATTCAGTGACCGTATTTGTTTGTGCCTTATGCCTGCACTTCAAGTAATCTCACCTCGCTGCGGCGGCTGGAAAATACCTCACCTCCCAGGCTCCTTCCATGCCCCAGCTCCTCGTGCTGGGGGATGCAGCTCAAGCCAGGACACGGGACAGGAAGACCTGTTTATGGCATTGAAAGTTAAACCATTTATTAGATGTAGAATAAGGGAGAGGTGTCACCCTTTGGTCCATGTGGGCAGAGGACAAGGCTCTCGTCACTCCTTTGGCTGAAGCATGGAGCATCAGCCGCTCCTAGCATCACCCAAGGATTCCCAATTTGCTCTTTTTCCACATTTCTTGTAGCACTTCTGGCTCCTGGACCGAGGTGACTTCATTTTCTAGATTGTGGGTTTGTGGAGGAGGGATTCTGGGTGCAGTCACTAGTAGAGTGACTATTTAGTGGCCCCCAGGGCCAATAGGTTTTTATGCACTTCGCTCTGCCCCATACCCAAACGCTGCCTGCAAGGAGCATCCCGAGGCCATGAGCGGAGCCCAGCCCCAGTGATGCCGAGTACCAATTTCCATAGGGCATCCCCATGCAGCCCTGAATTCCCAACCCTCCGAGGTCCATCAGTGCCCATAATTTGGCACAGGCAGCCAGCAAGGGTGGGCAGCACACAGGTGGAGAGCCGGCCACCAGCCCTGGGGTTAGTGGTGTGATGGGGAGAGGCGGGGGCAGCAGGGAGGGCTCCCAAACTTCTCAATTTCCACCTCTTGCACATTCTCTTCCATTTCTCCTCCTCTCCCCTTTTCCTCCCCGCCACGCCGTGACCTTGGTGCAGAAGGAGCGTGGTTAATCAGAAAGGAAAGGAAAACAAGCGCAGCCTTGTGCTGCAAGCTGCCCCGAATCCCTTTACCTGCGCGGTGCCAGACGGTGACGTTGGCAGCCACACGAGCGGAGCACACACAGCACCTCACGCGAATGGCATGTGCGTAGGAGCAAGAAACAACAACAGAATTCCTGTACACATTGCTTCAGACTCCACCGCTTTTTTTTCTTCTTCTTCTTCTTCTTTTTTTTTTTTTTTTTTTTGTTTTACTGTTATTTTGCCTCAACATGGTCATAGAGGCCCGGCATCCATCTATTTTGTTATTTCCTCAGCTATTTTTGTTTCTGGTTAGCTGGTTGTGCCGCTTTCTGAACCTCTTCGCCTGCTTACTTTAAAAAAAAAAAAAAGCTGAACAATATCGCGAAATTATAGTGAGGCTCCTTGCTGGTTTCAAACCTTTCAGCCGAATCAATCCACAGCGTCACCTGGGAGGTGGCCAAAGTCTCCCCTCAGCAATGGCAAGTCCCAGCTGTGCTTGGTAGCCTCCAGAGCACGTCAGCCACAGATGAAGGCTTCAGCATTGCCTCACCATGCCCGGGGCAGGCGGCCCCATGCTCGCTGCTTTTTCCTCTTGCCTCTTGAGGATATCTGCTAGTTTCAGGTTCACAGCCGTAATAAGTTTAAAGGGGGAAAAAAAAGAGGTTCTTTAATTATAAGACCACCCAACTCTTTTAATTCGTGGTTCTAGCTTTTTGTTCTTCAACGTATCAGCTTTTCACAGATCGTATTTTACCACGTCTCTGTGCTCGTTCCCAAGCCGAGGTTTGGTCGATGAAACACTAGATCATAATGAAACAGCAGTGGCTCCGCGCTGAGAAATGCAAGAAGCTTCTCCGACTGTGGCTTTGCTCTTATCCAATTTCAAAGATTCACTGGGAGAGCTGTGAAACGAGCCCACTCAGAGCCTGAATCAGGAGCTGGCTCTGAGCTCCTGCTCCTCAAGCAGGGCTCCTGCCCTCCCTCCGTGCTGAACCAGGCCCTGAACCCACCCGAAATGTGTGTGCAGGGGGTCCACACAGCACCACCCACTTCTCACCACCACCTGCCTTGCTCCCCCAGGCAAATTCAGCTGTGTAGAAGGGGCAGCATTGCCCAAAGCCTGCTGCCCTTCCCCTGGGGCTGCCACTCGCACAGAGGCCAGAGGCTGGGAGCAGGGATAGGCTTTGTTGCCTGCAACAAGTTGGGCTGGTTGCTGTTGCCTAAACAGAGGAAGGATAATTATAACTGGTCAGCAGTCCTCCACGTTTGTTTTTTTTCCAATTGGAAATTTTTTTTTTTTTGGCCCGAATTGTCACAGCTGTACAGAAAGTGCTCACCATCATCACTGCTCTAAGGTCAATGTTCAGGGGATGGTTTTTGGCCTTCAATTTAATACTCCCTAAGCATCAAAAAAAAAATGTTAAAAAATATAGATATAAAAATTTACCTTTGCCTCAGATTAATTCCACATAGTGCCACATCCCAATGATACAGCAAACCTTCCAGAGTGACATTATTTGCTGCAGGTGAGGTGAGGTGAGGCCAAGCCTCCTGTTTTGTCTCCTAGCGAGGGGCGCAGCACTGGGAGCACACCACCACGGCACTGGTCCCAGTCACTTAGGGAGGCGTGAGCGGCTGGCGGCCAGAGCTGAGTAAAATGCTGGTGTTGGACATCATAAATAATAGAAGTGGAAAGGGGAGAGCTAAGTGCCATTTACATATTTGAATAGCTGCTTACATATTTTAGTCTGTTTAACAAACTAAAAGCAAAAAAAAAAAAGGAATCGGTGATAAATCTCAGGAAAGGCACTGACGTTTTAAAAATTAGGCAATCTGTTTATGCTAAAATTGAGCTTTTGTTTCAAATTGCATACGTGTAAAATAGGAAAAGGCGTAAGAAGAAAAACCTTGCCCTGAAGATGAAACACGCTCCTTGGTCTGAGCCTGAAAGTCCTTTGCTGACTCAGAATGGAATGGGGGGTGCGGAGAGGGGAACAAACAGACCCCAAACATTGCACGCTGGGATTTTGCTCTTGCTTTTCCTTTATTGCAGCTCAGCTCCCAGAATAAGGATGTATACTTGTCCATTATTTATACGTCTATAATTAATGGGTATGAGCACAAGCAGTGACCTCTTGCATCACGAGCACCGCATGCTGTTATATTTAAAGTGGCTCCAAGGACCTGAGCGAGCAGGCACAGTTTGTTGTAGCAACAGCTCCTTCATTTTTGTTTTTTTTTTTTAAGGAAAAACTTCCCATGGCCTCCCGGCACTCACATAAACGAGAGGAACCACCTTCGAGACATGGAAGGTGCTGATTCAGTTTTTCCCCCACCCCAGAGGACGGGAGGGTGAAAATACCCCGTGGTTACATGGGGAAAGCAGTAAATTAGGCATGGTAAAGGTGCACTCGCTTGGGCCTGAAAGAAGGCAGCTCAGTGCTTAAGAAAAATGAGAGCCCCACCCCAATATGCATTTCCTACCAAAAAATCAGGGCTGGGAAGACCAGGGGGGATGGCACGTCATGCTTGTGCCAGTGCCAGGGCAGTGGGAAAACGCAGCAAAACTCCTCACCCTCACCCAGCAGTGACCTGTTTGCCTTGGGGCACAACGGGAGATCTCCTCACGTACTGTGGTTTTGTCCAGAGACTCTTGTTTTTGCAATTGCAGCCCTCGCCAGCTCGTCTGGGTGTTTGGAAGCTGCCTGCATTGAAGGATGCATTTTCCCCAGGTCCTCTTCCTATAGCTGCCCCCAGTTTGGATATCACCATGCTGCTTTCTACTAGAAAAAAATCCGTATTTTTCACGAAATCTGTCGCACCTAAGCAGACTGATAAGCCATGCAGAAATGTTAAGGTGCTCGTTAAAGCTTCAAGAAAACAAATTTCCTTCCAACAAATCTAAAAAAGCAAATTAAACAGCCCTGGGCAGCAAGTTCATTGGGCTGGTTAACACGCAGATTTTTGTGAGGCCCTTTACATGGGTATCATTTACCTTCGCTTCTGTAGATCTCTAATCTTTCCTCCTCATATGAGCTTGCCAAAGGATTTGATGGCTCACCTGGGCTTGCTAAGCACGGACCCAAAAGCCATAAGGAGAGAAGGGTTCGAGGCGGTGCTGATCTGACCAGGTCACATCTGTTTTTGGAATAAAATGTTGTTCTTCGGGTGTCCACATGCTTGCAGTTAGTTTTCGGTTCCTATTTCTTTATAGCCTCTCAAATAAAGGATCTCTTTCATGGCAGAGCGCTGCAGCCAAGTCATACCAAGTGTATCTAGCATCCACCCAGCTCCAACAGAGTTCGTGAGCGAAGAAATGTTGTTGTTCAGCCATATAACAATTCATTTGATACCAATAAAGTGCTGTTACGTGCCTGGGGTTTAGCAGAAAGGAATTCCACATGCCACCAGTTAGCAGTTTTGCATTGTTTCTTTTCAAATGAAGCCTGTGAGCAGCAGAAGTCGGCTTCTGGGGCAGTTTAGGTCGAACAACTTTGGTGTGGGTGCAGAGAGCAAGTACTGGCCACTGGAGAAGCTAGAAATGTTGGAAGTTTTGGGCTTTTTGGTGGAAATACAAAACTTTTGTGAAAAAAAAAAAAAAAATAAAATAATAAAATCCAGCACCTGGAGCATTTAGCAAGCTGTCCCAATTATTCAAATTATAGGCAAACTTCAGATTGGGGCTTACCTTGGCAGTGCATTTGCTAACCTGAGTTTTGATAATGCACCCTTTGGAGGGTGCAAGTCTGCATTGATGCTTGCTGAGCCCCTCCCCATGGGAACTAATGCCAACCGGTGACTGCACTCATAAAAATGAATTGGAGAACAAAGTCTAGGATAGGAGTTTTTGTTTGCTCTGCAGAAGGAAAGTCCCCCAGAAACAGCGGGCCGAGGTTTCTCCTTCAGCTTGCACAACAGAGCTGCCTGCTAAAACCCCGCACAGCAGCCCTGCCTGAGCTCCCCGAGCACCTCTTTCATCTCAGGTCACCTCGCTACCATTTGTCGCTCAGTCTCCACAGAACCACAGGTGCCATCATTTGGGCAGCCTGTCATGCACAGCAAGTTCACCTGGGTCCACGCATTTTGTCAACTCAGACCTGGGAAGTTTCACCCAGTAAGTGTTCATCCATCTGATCTGGCAGGGGTTCTCCAAACAAGCCGAGCAGATGTGGCTCCACGCTGACCACAGCGGGGAGCAGCACAAGATCCAAGGTCAGGTCCACCCTCTGCCCGGCCTAGGCCCAGTGGCATGGCAAAGAGGGAGGGTGTGGATCTGAGGGAAACCAGAAGGCTTTTCCCCAGTACTTTCCATAAACCAGATTATTTTCAGAAGCATTCAGTTCTTCATGGGCACACTGGCTTTGTCGCAGGTCGCTGCAAAGCCCTGAGAGGATCCCTTCCCCTGTGGGGTGTGAGGGTGATCCCAGAGGTCACCTTCCAAGAAGTTTCGGATGTCCCCATTTTGGGAGAGGTGCTCGAGGACATCAGATCTCAGCTGCAGGGCTGCCTGCCACACAAAAGACAGGCCAGGCCAAGGCACCTTTCCTTCATCTAAACTGGACGTGGTTTCACGGACCTTCTCCTGACTTGCAGTGACAATTGGCTCCCCTTCTTAAATTTCATTGCCATGTTTGTCCTGCAGGAATTAAAAAATCAGCTGGGTTTTATTCTGGGCCTTTTCTTCAGGGTAAGTTCAGCAAAAAAAACACAACAAAACAAAACACAAAAGTCAGCTGAGCTCCTGGATCTTGCTCTGTGTATTATATGTGGCTCCCAGTCATCCTCCTTCTAGATCACAAGCTCTTAGAGGCAAGGGCTGCTATGGTCTCTGCATTTGGGCAGCATGTGGCACGTCTGAAGCTTGCCATTTTTAAAATCCCCCCCAAAATCCCAGGCAAGCAGCTGCTGTCCATGCCCACAGGGGTGCGGGCTGCTGGCAACTCCGTAGTAAAACCAGCCAGGTTGACTGGAAACTGGCCAGATGGCAGCTCCTGCAAGCTAAAAGGATTAATTATTTGGGGATCATGCCTGGAGAGCAGGCGTGATGAATGCAATATATAATTCCTTGTCACGACTGTGTGTCAGCGCTGGGAAAGGAGGAACAGCCCGGGATTCAACAGCAGCCATCTTTGCTCTCTCTGGGGACACAACACATTTTTTTATGAGGCTCACAAGACAAAAAAAAATCTCTCTTTTAGCCTGAAACTCTACATGTGAAAGGCTATCATCTACCAGCCTTCACTTTCCTGCAATTACACTGATGTCATACAGTCGTATTTATTTTATTGGGTATTTCACAACTGTAGTGTTAATTAACTATTGTATTGGGTCGGTGTAATTAACCGTGTAATGACTCAAACACCTACAAGACAGCTTTGGTTTAGTTTCTTTTTTTTTTTTTTTTTCCTTTTTAACTCACCATGTATGACACTGCAGCTACTTCTTCTGACTGGGTACTTCACTACATGGCCCTACCCCTCATGGTTGGAGAAAACCTCCAGGAGATTGTCCAGGCTAATTAAGAGCTGTTTGTCTAAGTGGAAAAATCCACGTAGGGGGTTGTGGCCAAGTGCCCCTAACAGAGCTCCTCTGGGGTTACGGCTCCTGCTGTGGGTAATCGTGGTGGGGCTTGGTGGTCTGCTCCAACCTTGGCCGTGCAAGTGACTGATGGTAGAGCTGGGGGGATTGCGACCCACCCAACACCCAAATTTTCTCCGATATTGGGGAAATTCCTCCCAAAACCCCTCCATGGAAAATCAGGGCAAATCCCTGACATGTCCCATTCTCCCCACTGGGCAGAGAGGTCCTGACTGCCCTCCTGTCCAAGCGTGACCACCGTTTTTAGCAGCCATGTATGAGCACGGTTATTTCTAGCACAGTTTCCCCGAACTGTGCCAGTGGAGAGACGCTTTTTCTTTTTCCTTTCAGACCCCAATGTTCCAAACTACGCTCTGTTCTCCACCTACACATGAGTGTAGCATTATAGACGCTGACCAAAGCCACAGGGAGGAGGGAGGACAAAAGGACACGTCTCTTGTCTTCGGTCATTGCATCACTAGCTTCAGCTCCCAGATCAAAGGAGCATCCAACCAGCCCCATTCTGGCGAGACCCGAATTTGGGACAGAAGATCCCAGATTTCCAGGGTGCTTTGCAGGGTGCAACACCACAGCCCTCTCCCTACTTGTTTCTGTGTGACTTCTTCAGCCCTAATCTGCAACATTTCTGCTGCGGAGAAGGAGCCAACACGTAAATAATGCAAACCAAACAGGGAGCCCTCTTAATGGCTCTCTGCAGCACGGTTCCTCAGAGCCCAAGTGGATTTTAGGAGCTGGCCTGGGCCCATTGCTGTTCCCTCACCTGCAGCCGTAATCCTCTCTTTGTGCCCTCAGTCACTGCCATAGCAACTGG